CTAATTTAGGTTTGTGTAGGCGCTGCTCCTCGGCTCAGCGTATGCGCGCGAAGGGAAGCCTCTGCCCGTTGATATCAAGGCGCGGCCAATGACGGTGTTCAAGATGGAACTGGTGGGGTTCGAGAAGGGAGGGGAGCATGGGTTCGGTTTGCCTGGTGAGGAGGGGAGCACCGAGGAGAAGGTTGTCGGCGAGGTTATGCGTATGGTGGGAGCGGAGGAGTCTAAGAAGCGGACGCTGGAAGTGGAGGAGGAAGGGAAGGAGGAAGTAGGGGGGACTAAGAAAGTCAAAGTGGACGATACACTCTTCAAACATGCGGAAAAAACCATCCAAGAACCTCTCACCGCTGACTCCCCCTCCCAACAACCCCCAATAGCATCCCTCCGCATGTCCGTCTCCTCCGGCTTCTACGTCCGCAGTCTAATCCACGAGTAGCCCTCCAATACCCATCTTCTCCCTACTCCACTAACATTTTCTTTTACAACAGCCTCGGAGAAGCTCTCGGCTCAGCAGCACACATGGTCCAACTAACCCGTACCCAACAAGCCCAATTCGAACTAGGCAAGAATGTGATACCATGGGAAGACATGATGAGCGAGGACACAACAAAGTGGGAGCCGCAGTTGGAAGCGGCGCTGAGGGAGACAAGTGATGAAGGGGCATTTGCTAAGAGGGGGGATGATGTGGAGGAGGGCAGTGGGGGGGAGAATGTGGAATTGGAAGTGGAGAAGATGGAGGGGAAGGGTAGTTAGTGGGGTGGAGTGAGAAGTGATCAAAATCTAACTCAGCATGAAATTAAGAACGAAAACCCTCTACTATAGAAACGTGACACCATTCCAGTTCCGTTCAGCGACACAACAGCACAGTATATGCCAAGCTCCAAACACAACCGCTTCAAAAGCGAAAAGAAAATACAGCACTTTCTATACCCCTACACAACTCACTCCAAGACCAACAAACCCCGCTCTACCTCTCCCACCTCCCCGTCTCGCCCTCCACATCCACAACCACCCCCCCCTCCCCCTCCCCCCCTCCTATATCGTCAACCACACTCTCCCGATTCACAAACAAAAACGCCAAAAACACCAGCACCGCACCAATCCAATACACCCCACTTGACCAAACTCCCAGCACGAGCATCTGGCCCAGGAGAGCAAGCGGAATCGTCAAGCTCAATCCCACCGTAACAATCAACGGCGTGGTGAGCAGCATGGCGTACACCCAGCAGTAGTCCGAAATCAGTGTAATGCTAGCGTTGATCTACCACCACCACAAGCAAAAGTCAGCGGGAAGCACACTGAGAGAAGAAATAAGCCTACCACCACAATCCACCAAATCCTCGCATCCGGTGGAATTTCGAACTTTTCTACACCCGCGTGATGTAGTATGATTATACCGGGCCAGAGCACGAGAAAGTTGAACAGCCCCACGAAGCCAAAGAATCTGGTCATGCTGATGCGGCTTTCGTGGCCTATGCGCACTTTTAACAGAATTGTGTACACACCGTAGGAGAAAGCGCCCATAAGGGCCATCAGGTCGCCGCGGAGGATTTGTCCCGGTGTTTTATCACCTGCGCCGGGCGATAGGGAAGAGGAGGGACTGAGGTCTACGGAGGACACAAGCGATACACCGGTGAAGGACAGCACGACAGCTAGGAATTTTGTCCAGGTGAAGCGCTCGATGCGGAGGAGCGCGCCGAGCATGAGGGTGAAAATACTGCTGGTTGAGGAGAGGATTGTAGCACTGGCGACAGAAGTCCATTTGAGGCAGTAGGATTGGAAGTAGTTTGCCTTTTCCTCATTCATCAGCAATTGCTACCCTTATGGGAGGTACAAGGGAGAGCATACAACAAACCAAAGTAGGCAGAATTGCAAACTCAGCAATATAGTCTCCCTCTCACTAAGCATACCCTCCCCCTCCACCACCAAACTCTTGCTCGCCATTATCACCCCATCCCTATCCTCATCCTCGCCCACAGCTCTGGGCAACGGCACGTTCCCCAAACGTGCATATCCCACCCTACTCCGGTCCCTCTCCTCGCACTTCCCCCGCCACGCCCGCCACGCCCCGGGAAGCAGGTAGAAGCAGAACGAGCACGTATTCACATATGTCACAAAGTACGGCTTGGTATAACTCCCGTCAGAGAATATGGTGAAAGTCAGGAAGGTGCTCAAGACCCAGAGGAAGATCACCACGCCGAGGAGGAGAATGCCAATCGTTTTGCGGCGGGGGAAAACACGGATACGAATCGGCTGCGGCTTCGGCATTAGTGGAAGCGAGCTGGGGCGAGCTGGTGGCGGGGGTAATAGTGGCACGATAAAGTCCGGTGGAGGTGAGAAGCTTGCGTGAATTGGCGGTAGTGGAGATGTAGACATTGTAGAGTCAAGGTCTGTATCACCCGCTTCTTCTCCCTCTCCGTTTCCCGGTGACCCGACCCGACCCGACCCGGTCGCTGGGCGAAGGGCCAAGGGCGAAAGAAAAAAGAAGGAAAGAAGGAAGAAAGTGCTGTAGAAACGGTGGATACTCGGGTACTGGCGGAAATTACCCACACTTTATTCACCCACGGATCTATTTATACAATTTCCCGGGACACAGTACCGGTCGGAAGATGGGGAGGGTGGGCTTGCCATCCACAGTATCATAAGTACTCGGGTATACTCGAGGATATGTCGATATCTCAGGATTTGGAGGTTTAGCCCCTTGTAGAAAAGCGACGATGGGATAGAATTACCGTATGGCAGGGTCGGATACTGGAACAGTCGCACCTAGCTATGGTTCGTTAACAAAAATAACCGACCGTCCATTTTCAACCCCACCAAAAGAAATTGCATCAACTCAACCAAAATCCAATCACATGATTCTTTTTCCTTTAAATACTAGGCCTCTTATTCTTTGCAGTCATCCAAAAAAGCCTATTCCAACCCATCACCTCTCTGAGTTTACAAGGGGGAGAATCATCGGGTTACATAAGCCTTAGATGGGATATCAACAGATTTCTGACTATCTCAAGACCCTTATAACTGTTAAAAACACAATCTCAAAGAAAGACTTGGAGGGCAAGAAGAGGAAGGATAAAGGAAGACATCCTAAGACAACAAAGTTACAGGATTATGTTATGGTAGAGGAAGTTCTTGAAAATCGCAATACTGACTATTTTGAGATTGTTTAAAGGATTGTTCTTAATGTTTCTTCTATGACAGTTAGAAGAAGACTTGTACAAAGATATCTTAAAAGTAGTTCACATAAGAGAGGATTCACTTGGATGAGGATCTAGTACAGGAGAGATTGGAATAGGTATTAGCTCATAGAAACTGAACAAGAGAGATGTGAAGGATGAAGGCAATATGGAGAAATAAGGTTACTGTACAAAGTTAGGAGGAGGGAAAGGATAAAATATATATTTAGGTAGCCAAAGGAGAAGCAGAATAAGGATTAAGTTAAACCTAGTATGAGGATAGGAGGAAAATTAGTCAGATGATGACAGATTATTTCTATGATCATGATCATGGTCTCATTATTAGGAGTAATAGGATCTGAGACTATTAGGTAGAGACAACCTAATAGACTGCAGAGTTGTCTAGGCCAACCAAGATTCATTTCTGTAGATGGAGATTGTGTAAGAAGACTCAGATTACACTGGTTTCGTTTATTACTACTAAGAGTGAAGTACAGTAGGTAAAGTAGAATAGAATCATAAAAACAATATTATATCACTAAGGTTTCTTCTCTGTTGCTTGATGATGTCTAAAAGCTTGGAAGGTACTTTGATATTTATATTCTGTATCTGAGTATTAGCAGACTACATCTATCTATTATACAACTCTGTACCTCTCTGATTATAACTTGCTATGTTGAGTATCCTTCACGGTGCAAACATCTGGAGACAATAAAAAATCACCACACCCTCTTCAGTAATTGCAATATGGCTAACTGAGAATCATACTATTCCCAATAGTAATTATCTGATTGTCAGAGTCTTTAGACTTATGACATAGTTTACAAGTTGAACTGAGTTGGCTCCAATTATCTCTGTCATTGATGAAATGATCAGTTACATCTACGGGTTGTATCTGTGAAGATAGTTGTAATCGCAACCTTTCTAGATCGCCTGTTTTTAAACCTTCATAACTCTCTAACTAACCTACAGATATCTTCAGGAGAATTTCTTACTCATTCACAAGAAGCTATTCCACCAAATTGACAGGTAATTCTACTGTCAACAACCCTTGGTTGCTTTGGGTAACCAGAGTTTCAATTACCATTCTACTAGTGGAAACTATTGCTGCAGCCACAACCTATTCCAAAACCTAGTTGTAACACTCCATGAAGTCCTTTGACTTCTGTGGTAGTATTTCTCAGAGTTCTAAACTCTTCGGGTAATCGTAAGGTGGATGCAAATATATGGGTTTCCCGTTGAGATTATTTCTCATTCGATACTATCTCTTCGTGGGAATATGTCCTGTTACTTATGGTACATGCTAAAGACATCATGTTTTTAAAGCCTGATAACCTCCTGGGTAGTTGGAGGATCTATTCTGTTCCACTTCCCAGACCTAGCCGAAGTTCTCCTCTCATATACCCTAGGAACAGTATAGAGTCAGAAGGAAGACAGTAACGTATGTATTATTATTCTTACACCTTCAATTCTGGAGTATTATAGTCACAAGATGCAACTGTGGTTGATATATATAATGACGTGCAGGCCCTGTAATGGGGCAGGAGGGCAGTGTTGGAGACCAGGAATTCCAATTCTGAGAGTAGTTATCCTACTTAGGATGGTTCCTAGGCATTAGATCCTAGTATTCCTAACATGAGCTCCCTGCTCTCAAGGCTTTGTCTAGAATGTCTTTTTAGATACATATAAAACAAATTAAAAAATTAAACAATAAATTAAAACAATTAATTATTAAATATTAAAAACTAATTCCTTTAGGACCCAGTAAGCGCCGGATGAAAAATCAACTGCGTTTGCTTGCCCACAGTTAGAAAACCTTTTCCTCAGCATCATTCATGTGCCAGCCATGATATTTCCAGATTATCGCAGTAGAAGTTTTTCTCCATTTCTCTCGCATTATTCATGCCTGTAATAGGTTTCCAAATGTTCTTGTCTTTGGATCAACCTTGCCATTTGACCAAGTACCAGATTTGATATACCTCCTGAAAGCGACTCAGTACCCTGTTTCGCTAAGAGCATATCTCGCTTCTTACGATTTTCTCTATTTCCCATTGTAAGTCCTCCTCAATATCATTGTACTCACTAGGAAGTTATTGTCGGTCAGCTCGTATTGACTCCCTGCATGGTTCTCACAGAGATATATGAAACACTGGATGTATGCTCCATAGATCTGAAACATTAAGCTTGCAGGTATGATCTCCTCATTTCTCCAAGAGCACAAATAGTCCATATAATTTTGGACTAAGTTTCTTTGACTTTTGACATGTTTAAATGTTCTTTGTATTTAACCTTACTTTATTGCCGATTTTGAAGTCAGGTTATTGCTTGGCCTTCTTATCACAGTAGTTGACTATAACCTCTCGTATCTGTTAGAGTGATTAACTTGCTTGCTTGTTGATTGTCTTTATCCAGTTTGTTTAAAGTCTGGTGCCTGGATTGTGCACCTCACATTCCTTGATCCATTCAGTCTGGGGATGAAATTTATGTTTTGTGTAGACAGGGATTATTGTGTGTGTATTCATTGCCGAGTTATTACAAGTATGTTCTACTAGAGATAGTAATTGGTACTAGTTGTTCTGATCGTAGTTGATGAAAGTTTGCAAGAAACCGTCCAGCCCTTAGTCGGTTCATCCAGTTTGTCCCTCCCACTGTGAGTGGTAAGCTATAGCCATCCTTCTTTTTATGTTCAATGTTTTGTACAGCGATTCCCAAAATTCTCCTACAAACTTCGAATCCATATCTGAGACACTTTCTGTTGGTAAGCCATGTAGCTTCTATATTTCCTTTATAAAGACTGTAGCCACCTGTAACGATCCCCTTTCAGATAGGTAGTTCTTGGCGACAGGGAATGATACTTATCTTCTCTTTTGCTTTCTTCCTTTGTCTTACGATAGCTCTAGGACTCTACCTATGTTACCGATAGTACAAGCCCTTTGTCTTCTATCGGAAACACCTATCGTAAGCTTTCTCTAACTCGTCTTCGTGACGAGTACTTCTTGGTGTAATGATAAAGTTGCAATAAGGATAAAGATCGTAAAGGTGTTTTATATTCGTTAAAGTAATAAGTAGGAAAAGTACTTAGAATTCAATCTAATTTTATTTAAACTCGTACCGCCAACACTGGCATATGACGAGCCCCCGCCGGAACAGGGATACTGCTAACCGGTATACCACTAATCCTAGGCTAACTAAGTCTACGGTCCCGTACCTGCCATTCCCGAGTCATGCCCGCACGGAAACTAATTACAAGACCATCAAACAACCCAGCGCCCTCTCCGGTCCAAGTCCATAGCCACTCTGGTATGAAGCCAACCAGCACCAAGCGTAGCCGAAGCCGAGCAAGAGACCGACCCAACCAGGTTCCTCGTCCAACAAAATTAAAACCACTACCACTCGGTCTAAACACCGTCCCGCAACACCTCCACCACAGTAGAAAACCAACAACAAACTAAAACAAATATATAGTACAGGTGAAACAAGGGCAGAGAGGAGGTGACCAACATATCCACCTCTTGCATCGGCATGCCAGGCCGTCGATCCTATAAACCCACTTTGCCAAGTGCCTCCGAGGAGCGTAATGGTGAGGAGGACCTGTACCCGCTGCCTGTCCCACAAAACAAACTCATAAACAAAAGAAATACATAGAGGTAGTGACAGACCGAAATAGTCAGTGGGGCCTATCTCCCACCCGTGGTGCCTTGTCCCTGCCAGCCATGCCCATTACCAAACCAAAGAAACCAAACAAACTTCCATAACACCCAGCACGCAGAACCCAAACAAGTCCAACCAGGTGGTCGCAATCCACTATCCGCACAGGTGGCCATCAGTCCAGCGGTCCGCCGGGGAGCTTTACAGCACTCAGCAGCTTCCCCCAGCAGCCCATACCTGTCTGGAAACACTTAACTAGACATCGTCCAACCTGACGCATGTCCGACCGGTGCTCGCAGTTGCCTCTCCCCTCCCAATCAGCCCCCCCCAAGCCCCACACACCAGATGCCACAGAGCCCATCCAGCCCCCCCAGCCCCTCAGACAGATCAACCATCCGACGGCCACAGGACAGCTTATACCCAGCCCCGCCAGGTAGCCATTGATCTTAGCCACACGAACAGAGCCCCAACCCCCAGCACCGTATAGCCGAGGGGAGCCCACCAGCCACTGCCGGGAGCCACAAAGGAGGCAGCACCAACACCCAAAGGCACGGGCACCAGCCACACCATCCAACCCAGCCGAACCGAAATCCAACCGAGTTGGGAAAGAGTAAGCAGAGCCAGCCAAAGCCAGCCCCACAGGTCCGGCAACAGGTACGGACCGAACAACGGGCAAGAGGCATCCCCAACTGACGCGACAAGAAGGGGGAGGGCGAAGATACAGAAGCAGAAAAACAGAAGGTAGGCCCCACTTGCAATGGGTGAAGCCGCCAACCACAGACCACAACCGAACCACCCAGATGCACAGACAACGCGAGTGTCTGGCAGCCAATCGTCCCACACCACCCCAGGTAGCAACAATCACCACACCAGGGGGTAAGATTTTTCAGGGTCAAAGCCATCCTCACGGGTG